TTCAAACATAAATTAAACTCTGAAGAACAGTAAACATTATAATGAATATGTTATATGGTGCATATATTTAGCAAAATGCCCCTCTCTACAGTTTATTTTTCTATCTGACTAATGAGTTTATGGTCACCGAATATGTTTTTCTGAGGTAAATGTGACGTTACGTGACATTGTTTACAAGCCGTTATATTGACGTCTTTGCGTGGCTGAAACACAGATTGAGAGATTACATGAGACAGGATACGGATTGTAAAGTAAGTTGTACTCTTTCTTTTAACTTACCTTCGGATGTTTAGTCATGTTTATTTTGTGCTGAAACTGGTATTAATGTGGAGGAGATCACCACATATGCATAGTAGAAGTAATGCTCCAGGAAGAAGTATCCAGTGATCGCTGTAGCTGAATAAAACGCAGATAGAGAAATTTTAACTGAGGAAACCTGAAGACAATAAACATGCGATTGCACAAAATATATGGTATCTGTGTTCTTCAAGCAATCTTGGGTATTTTTTATAAGGATACAGTATATTTATAATGCAATGCTAATCGACGTAGCCTTTATCACTGTATATAATGCTACAAAATAGTATGATTTCTGCCTTGTTCTGTGATACGAAACCACGTCTGATCACAAAAATAAGTTATTTCAAACACTCGACTATGTTATGAAGTTAATATGGAGAAAAAGCATGTCAATAAATTAAAATATCTTTGTTGGACAACAGGTTTGTAAACGACTCGTACACATGTAAAACTGTGTCGCACACGTGCTACTGTAGTACATTTACTCAAGGCTCAGACCGATTTTTGTCACACTGTACAGCCCTAACCAAACCTGTTCCAGATTGTATTAGGAGCTGCTCAATTTCACGTCCGCCTTCCTTCACGTCACTCCACACAGTCGCACACAGAAATATGTCAACAACTAGACTTTATCGTTATTATCGCAGGAAGACAAATTCTTATCGTGTGGAGAATTTTTACTGGTATATCGCAAACGATAAGATATCGCCCATCCCTATTACCCAGCCCTACTTGCAAGCGCTACGGAGGCAGGATTTTATTTTTTATTTTTTCAGTTGAGATGCTTTGGTTGCCGTCATACAGAATAGCCACTGAAGTAATGTGCAAGACGCATCACAAATGAAATGTTGCATGCATTATTTTTCATATCAATATTAACTTCTCCATTGTCGTTCAGTCGTAGAACAAGTAGGATGTGACAGTTGGTCAGTGTGGTATTTGCCCCGCCCCTCCTCCACTGTGACTGGACGGCTGACTGAAAACTGCCAGTGATGAGCGGTGCATTTTGCCCAAAGTTGAACATTCATTAGTGCTTTGTTGTGCTGCTGGCTTTTTAAAAAACACGGCACTACCATTGAAAACTATGGAAAAAATATGCCTCGGGAAAAAATGGTTTGGTGGATACTAGGGGTCGACCGATATGTGTTTTTCAGGGCCGATACCGATACCGATTATTACATATCAAGTAGACCGATAACCGATATTTTGAACTGATATATATGTCTGGTGAAAAAATGAACATTTATGTCAAAATTAAGAATAACAAGGGCTCTGACAAAAACTGCCTTCCCTGGTGTTGGTTGAGTGTAGTACTCCCACAATACACTTCTTACTCTTGTCTTCCTTTGTGCATCCATCTACAATAAGGGTAATATAAAGAGAGAGTTAAAAGTGGGGCCACTGTATGCTTCACGATTAAGCCTATGAATACTGTAGTGAATGCGGTGATGGGCCACTGTTTTTTTCATTCCACTGGAAAGACGTATCGGTGTTTGTATTTCATATGATTCCTCATTTTAACTTGAAAAGTTTGCGTGCTCAGGATTTATCAGGGATTCCCTGCATTTACAGCCAGCAAATCAACATTTTAGAGAAATTTGAATAGAGTTTTTATTTTTCGAATAATTATTGCAGATAGAATATTCGACTATTTGTGCACACCCTATAAATTACACATTAAAACATTGGCATGTAGCCTGTTAGTTTGCATACACTAATAAATGTAAATCTGGCACATTACCACAAGGTGCATTGAAACAAACAGTATAAAACAAAGAAAAATCCAGCAACACATGTGGTGAAGAGAACTTTTAATTAATTGTCAAAAAATACTAACGTGTTCAAAGAGTTAGCATATACTATAATACTTAATGCACAGATCTATTCTGACATAATGACACGTTTTTTTTTTTTTTTTCAGATTTAATCCTGCATTTAAATATTTAAAAACCTACTGTAATTTTTGTATTCTAATAAATTAAATCAATCTGTTTGTAAATGTCTCCTTGTATCCCTTTATTAAGGAAAAAAACATTGTTTGATCAATTCTTATTGCGCCCCTAAAGTTTTTGTTTTGTTATTTTGTTTTGTTTAATGCAATTTTTTAAACTTATGAGCACATGTGCATCTTGGGACAAAAGTAAGCGTCAAGCCCTGCACTCCCAAAACTCTGCAGTGTGTACTCAGCAGCATGAAAAAAAAAAATTTAAACTGTGAATGGATAAAATACAGAAAACGAGTAAGGGTGCCACCGTTGTATTACACACGTACATTGTATTGTTTGGGTCAGCACTGTGGTACGTTTGCATCAAAGTGGCAGCTGTTTACTAGAAATGTACCAGACTAGCCGACTAGTCAACTGCGCGTAAACAATGAAAATATTACTTGTTTATTTATTTATTTATTTTATAAATAAAGCTTCAAAGGCTACATTCAGAATACCGTCATGTCAATGTTACATTTTAAATACAATACATTCTGTTGAAAAGCGTGTATCTGGAACAGAAATTCATTTTAGCTCAGACCTTGCATTCATTTTCTCTGTGTTGGTGGGTTCAGAGAAATGTAGGGGTGTGCGATAATGACAAAAAATTACATCTCTATATTTTCTGGAATTTTGTCTATAACGATAATTAGACGATATTTGAGTGTGTTATTGTGCTGGTATAAGAGATATACGAGAAATTAATTTTTCCAATAAGTTTAAATTGATTTTTACATTTTATGGGTATTTTTTGTTTCCAAACATATGGCAGTTCACAGAGGCCATGCACTTTTTTTTGTTTGTTTGTTTTTTCATTCCCAATTTTGACGCTTTTGATCATTATTTTTGACTATGAGTGCATAAATGACTAATTTTACTTTTAACTTAAGCTAATAGGCCTATTTAAACCATTTTATGTTGCATTTCATGTTGCATTGCAAACATTGCTTTTATAGGAACCAGCAATTTGGCCAACAGCATTAAAACACCAGCTCCTTTAATGGGCAAAAGGACACTGGTGAATGTTCTACTTAGGCAGATTTTTCTGTACATGATTCATTAACTAGGCCTAAAAATAACAATTATGCAACAAACACTGATGTCAAATCCTATTTGATATTACAAGCAATCAAACAAACAAATAACAGCACAGAAGATAAAACAGAAAAGTGAGAAAAAAACAAACAAAATAAAAGCAGGCCACTAATGGCCCTTCTCTGTAGCTCTATCACTCATCCTCATTTCCTGTCCACACAGGAAGCAGCCTGTGAGAGGAAATTCTTCCAGCCGTGTGAGAGTATGAGATCCTAAGAACAGCTGATGAGCCAGACCAGTTTTATCTAACTCCTAATAAACACACACGGGAAGTCACAGACAGCATCCTCTGGCCTCTGACCTCTGCTCACCTGTCCTGACACTCAACCAGAAATGAGTCAGCAGGAAAAGCACTGACAAACTGTTCATAATAAGACTGAACCCCGCGAGACTGCTTTAAAATTCACTAAGATATATTACAGAGTGAAAAACTGAAACAGCCTGCAGTTAAAAATAAATAAATAAGTTCTGAGTCAGTCACCACAGGTGAGCGAACAGTGATGGTGCCCCAAAAAACTTCCTGGAAGTTCTGAAACAGGGCGACAGTTGGTGACAGTTCACTGCATTCACACTGAACACAGATGATTTGCAGACACTAGAGTAAGTGATGCTGTTACACCTGTTTCTCTTGTGATCAGATGAGCTCAGTACACTTGATCATAGAAACTGACACGCATCAAATTACACACATCATTTAAATGCCACGACTTAGCACAGATGAATTCACTTATTTAAAAAAAATATTGATACACAGCTCACATGCACTGAGAGAAAACCAGCTCATAATTACAGGAAAATGTGTATAAGTTCATATAATGTAGGCTACAACAAATTACCACACATAGCAGTGTCTATTGTTGTATACACACATATCTACTGTATGTGTCATGTCTGTTGTTTGTGTATCATGTACACATTCACAAATCAGGGTTGTTGTTTATAAACTCTGTATATTCACCACCATAAAAAGGTGTTATATCCATTGTTTACATATTTGGTATATACTCACACATATATTCGCAAACAAGTGAGTGTGTGACGTCTTTTGTTTATAAATTCTGCAAATATATTCACAGACATATCAGTGTGTGACACTGTTTATATAGTAGTGTAGTATATAGTGTCATGTCTGATGTGTGTGAATACATACCAAATATAGAACAATAGACATGACACGCCTCATATGTGTGAACTTATACCGCAAATATAAACAACACACATGTCATTTGTTAACATATTTGGTATATATTCTGAATATAGTGCACAGACATACATGTGTATTATCTCTGTTGTTCATATATTTGATATATACATTCACACACATATCAGTGTGTCAGGTCTGCTGTTTATGTAATTTGTATATATACTGACACATAACAGGCTGTCAGGTCTGTTGTTGATGTAGCACGATAAGCTAGCTAACGCTAATCATTTCAATCCATACATTATCGATCACAAATGGTGTATCGCGCACATTAAAGCCCCTGTTTCACATTCAAGCGGCCATCTGAACATCGCTGTGGCATTAAACCCACAGAAACGGCTGATTTAATGAGGATAAACTCGTGCTGTGGGAAATATGTCTGTGAATGTTTCAGTCCTGTCAGAGTCTCTCACTCACCTAACAGCGCGCGCAGATGCTTCAGACGCGTGAAAACATCCTTCTTTGGGTCCAGAACTTTCTGTGTAGATTTCTTGACGTCTCCATAACCCCTTCGAGTGAACATTCCGCTGTAAAAGGCGATTCTGTAGCCGCTTTTACCTTCCTTTCACCATTCAGACCCGTGTGTCTCTTGTGTGTATGGGTGAAGAACAGCAGCTGCCTGACTGACTGACCGACGACGGGGCGCCAGATCCTCTGGAAAAAATCCCCCTGTGAGGACAACATGCC